CATACTCAGAGATGCAAACAAGGGTACATAAGGACACCATACGTCTTGCGTAAACACACAGGCGTGCATACCAAAACACCCATACACACATACAAATACAGATGTTCACACAGAGACACGGGCGCACAAAAGGGCCTTCCAACAGCTGACACGGCACAAGGTCTTCGAGACCATCGGCAGGTGCTCGGCTCTACTCGTGCCTAGTCGGAGGCTCCAACCGTTCGGCATCTCCGGAATCGCGACACCCGCCCGGTACCCACAGACCTGTCAGCTGGCAAAGCGCGAGGCGTGGTGGGGTGACGCATTGGCGACAAGTGCTACAGGAGGCTCGGCCCACGTCAACTTCGACTTCTCGAGGGTTGACTGGATGCTGTGGTGTCTGATTTGCGCGAAAACTACAGTGCTATTTTCTTTCGGTTTGCGTTGGCGCTGCAAAATGCAAAGTCAGCAAATTGTTGAATGCTTCCATCAGTCGTCAGTCGTCCACAGCCCAATTGTCTCCGGGATCAGATTCTGCCTTCTGAGTCGAGCAGGCCCATCCTCACGAGGCGTACAATTTCGAAGTTGACAGAGGGTCACAGTTCGAGTCCCGGCGCTACGTCGTCTCGAGTGCGAGTGGAGCTGGCTGGTGTCTTACGGTCCTCTCCAGTTCGGCACCTGCCTGAGCAGAGTCTACAGACATTGGCCGGAAAACGAAGGAGGATCGTTATGAAGTGAAGACGGTTGAGTTGTGTCAAGAAGCCCTCGCTCGGCTCACCGCACAATCCAGCAGTCCTCATTCTTCCAAGGCAATCCTGCTTCGATTTTCGCTTATAAGTTGGATTTCGAGGCTATCAATATACCATATATATATGAGCTTTATTCGCTCTATTTCGTTTAAGGTGATAAGGGGATTAATAGTTGGATGTGCATACAATGATATGATCAGATCATGGCATTTCACACAACCTTGCTTCCCCAAAGGGATTCTCATCCAGACTGTGGTGGATGACAATTTCATCAGCACTTCCAGGGGGACTCGAACCATGACAGTCATGCCAGGCATTTTTCTATACCACATTCTTTGGTGGGATTGTCGATGAAGCAAGCTTATATTTGCTATAGCAATTGAAGGCATTACCTATTTTCATGTTTATGTAGCTTTTTGAGGACTAACAATAGATCAGATATATGAGATGTATTCATCCTATTTCGTTTAGGGTGATAAGGGGACTAATGGTTGAATTTTTGCGCAATCATATGAATATAAATGAAGTTTGCATTGGATATGATGTGGGAAAATGCCTGGCCTTCCTTGAGATTCACATCTGCCCTGTGATCCAAGGGCACTCGTGGCAAAGTAGCGTAGAAGTTAACGTTTCAAGATTATACGCTGCACTGTAGCTGATGTGGTTGATGACTGCAGTCCACCTCAGCCTAGATGAAAATAACTTTTGGAAAGCTACGTGATGTCTACTTATAGCATTGCGGGAAAATTCAACCATCGTAAATTAAATATGATAAATACATCTCATAACTCGTTCTATGTCCTAGAGACAACTTTGTGGGGCTTCTCATCATCGCAGAGAATGGGGTTGGAGTTTATTTGCAGAATCTTGCAAAGAAATCCGCATCGACAAGAGTGATATAGTCACATAATTAATCACTGGACTGCAGAGGATGTGACTATGGAGACAATTGAATCGGCTTCATCGCAAACCGAAGTGGATATCGTCTCTGCGTTGTCAAGCCACTCGGTCACCCATTGTTTGTTGGAATGACGAGTCAGGCGACATGAATGTGATGAGATGTATTCACCCTATTTCGTCTAAGGTGATGAGAGACTGGTAGTCGAATTTTCCCACAATGATATGAGTTGAGCTGACGTTTCCCTTGAATTTCACATAGCCTT